GCCCAGGTGAGCCGGGCGCTGGTGGTGGGGGCGGTCACCTCGGTCTCCCCGCCCCGGAACCCTGCGCAGCCACCCGGCGCCGCCACGCCTCCCGGCCTCAGGCTCCGCATCTGTAAAATGGGCTAATGAGCCCCGGAGGGCGGCGCAGATCGACGCGCTGGGGCTGCGGCTCGGCTCGAGCTGGGAGGGCGGCTCCAGGACTGCATTTCGTCCCCTTCCATCCCCGACGCCAGCCGGGAGTCGCCACCTGCCTGTGACACTCGGGACGCCCAAAGGGCCACAGCCTCGGGTCGCACCGCAGGGTGGCGGTGCTCAGCTCTGGGCTGGGTCAGGCTCTCTAAGGTGGTCTGTCAACTTCAGCCTCAGTCTCCTAGTCTTTAAAATGGGCGTGAGGCGAGGAGAGTCAAATGTTCCTAAGAGAGAATCCCAATGGGTTGGCCGGTGTGCTCAGTTGGTTAGAGCGAGGTGTTATAACACCAAGGTCAAGGGTTCGGGTCCCCATACCCGCCAGCCGGCCCCCTCCCCGCAAAGCCACGCCCCTCCAGGAGCTGGAGTTCACCCCCCTTTTGAGTGTGGGCGGGACTTACAACTCTCATCCAAAGTATTAAATATGGAATGTCAAAAACTAGTAACTACAGTGGAGACACGTGGCAGACACCACCTTGAACTTAATGTCGCAGGGGTAAGTTTCACTGAAATCATGCAGCTCTGCTTTAATGTGCTAGAGGGGCACCTCACCTCTGTAGTTTCTTCCAGAAACGCATAACCACCGTCCAATGATGAGGAAAAATCCCAAATTGACAGTCTATAAAATACCCAACCAGTGCTCTACAAAAGTGTTCCAGTCATGAAACAGAAGGAAAGTTTGAAAAACTGTCACAGACTGAAAGGGACCAAAGAGACATGAGGACTGAATGAAATGTGGGATCCTGGACCAGAAAAAAAGCACTTGTGGAAAACTGGTGAAATCCAAAGGAAGCCTGGAGTTTTGAATAGTAACACAACTAAGAAATGCAGATTTTTAAAGTAGTTACAAGCGCATGATGGCTATGTAAGATATTAACAACAGAGAGTCTGAGTGGATGGGGGCTCCCTGCGTTTTGCAACTTTTCTGCAAATCTAAAATTATTCCGAGTAAAAAGTTTACTTAAGGGCCAACCCGTGGCTCACTTGGGAGAGCATGGTGCTGACAACACCAAGCCAAGGGTTAAGATCCCCTTTCCAGTCATCTTTTTTTAAAAAAAAGTTTACTTAAAAATGTGCATGACCTAAGAAAACATTTAAAACCGATTCAGCATTTATTGAGCACCTACTGCATGCTGAGTACGGGGTGACACAGCAGTGAATAAGACAGACATGAAAACCTGCCCTGCTGAGGTTGACGTGACAGAAAAATTTATCTTCTTGCTGTTAATTCCTTTCCTTTTTTTTTTTTTTATGTGGGTGGGGAGAGAAGAACATTTTCTTTCCTTTTTTTTTTTTTAAAAAAAAAAGAAGACAGGGGGCCAGCCCGTGGCTCACTTGGGAGAGCGTGGCGCTGACAACACCAAGTCAAGGGTTAAGATCCCCTTACCGGTCATCTTTAAAGAAAAAAAAGGAGAATTTACTGCTTGACATTTACTCTTAGAATTTGTTATCACTAAGAAACCCATTGCTGAACTAAATGTAGATGACATTGTTTAGAGAAATTCTGGGAAAATGGGATGATTGTTAACCTGCTCTATTTTTTAAAAAATTATTTTTATTTATACATATTTATGGGGTAACAAGTTGACTATCAGTATTTGTGTCCAGTATGTGATGATCAAATCAATATTATTAGCTTGTTTATCATTACAAATCGTAATTACTTTTTGTGTCCCTTACTCAACTCTCTAACCTCCTTCCCCTTTCCCACCTCTCGTAACTATTAACCTGTTCTATTTTAAAGAAATGGGAATTACTTTCAAATTGAATAGGCTAGTTTAGAGTAGCCATAAATATCATAAAAGGGCTAGGAAACTGTTGTTAAATATGTTATAGTCAGTTATCCATTCAGTTTTCGTATAATCTTTGCAATTTGCTTACTGTGTAGACCTTCCTGAACTTACACTGTAAACCCTCCTCACCTTCTCTGCACGTTGAGCAGACTTATTTCTCTTGCTGAGAGGTGGTCTCCCCAGTTTAAAAACCTAAATAAAAGCCTCATTTACATTTCCTTACAGACTGAAGTGTTTGCTTCCACACAAACACACCATTCCCTTAATTCTCTGTCCAAGCCTTAATGGACAGCCTCCCCCCACACTCCTGGCTTCATCCCTTGACTGACTGGATTCCCTTAAGTCCTTCACAGCCTGATTCTATTCTAAGTGTGGTTGCTGTTTTGATAATCTGCCCAGGAAGCAACCAATATTCTGTAGTAGTCTGTTTTCTGTCATTGATAATAAAATACCTGAAACTGGGTAATTTACAAGAAAATGAAATTGATTTCTTACAGTTTTGGAGGCTGGCAAGTCCAAGATCCAGGGGTCACGTTTGGTGAGGGGTTTCTTCTTGGTGGGGACTCTCTACAGAGTCTTGTGGTGACACTGGCAATCACATGGCAAGAACAGCAAGAACAAGAGGGTTTTTATGTGCTCACTTGCTCTTCTTAAAAAGCCACCAGTCTACTCCCTGATAACCCATTAAACCATTAAACTATTAATCCATAAATGGACTAATCCATTCACAAGGACACAGTCCTCATGATCCAATCATCTCTTAAAGGCCCCACCTTTCAAATACCATTTTGGGGATTAAGTTCCAACATGAGTTTGGG